TAAGTATATCTGTTTATGATTTAATTTATTAGCCGAATAAGTATACTTGCTTATGATTTAATTTATTAGCCAAATGAATATATCTGTTTGTGATTTAATTTATTAGCCAAATAACTATATCTGTTTATGATTTAATTTATCAGCCAAATAAGTATATCTGTTTATGATTTAATTTATTAGCCGAATAAGTACACTTGCTTATGATTTAATTTATTAGCCAAATAAGTACATCTGTTTATGATTTAATTTACTAGCCAAATAAGTATATCTGTTTATGATTTAATTTATTAGCCAAATAAATATATCTCTTTATGATTAAATTTATTAAGCGGATAAGTATATCCGTTTATAATCACTAAATGCGCATAATAATCAAAGTGAAATTATTGTTTGTCAAATAAATGCGGCCATTTTTATGAGCAATTAAATTAATTTAATTAGCATATAAATTATTAACTGAGTAGATAATTAGGGCATGATTCATGTATAAATATATATTTTTAGCATTTTTTTTTTTTTTAACACCAAAATACATGCAAGGTAAATGAGAAAAGAACGAATTTAATTAATCATACGAGAATTTTAATTCGTGCAATACTGATCGAATCCTTTATCAACAAATTTTCATCCTTACTGTATCATTAACATCTATCTTACTGTATTACCAATACCTACTTCATTGTATTATCAACACCTACCTTACTGTATCACCAATACTGAAACCTTGGCCATCAAATTTTCATCCTTACTCTATCACTAATACCGAATCCTTCGTCGTTCGATTTTCATCTCTATTATATCATTATTACTGAATCCTTCGTCAACAAATTTTCTACTGCATCAACCCTTACAGTATGACTTTAACCCTCACAACATGGCTAATACTATTGATATAATGATTAACATTACTGTAATCCTATTATCAACCATATGAGTATATCAGCGCTAATCTCTCAGTTGTATCTATTAAAATACTTACGATATATTCATGAGATATTTTAATTAAATCATACCTTAAGTCATACTTTGAAAATTAAATCATATTTAATTAAATCATAACATATTCTTTCTTAAGCATCACTTTTTTAAAAAATAAGAAATTAAATATTCCTAATACAATAATATTCATTTTATCACTTCACATCATGATGATATGAGATAATAAAAGAATATTAATGTATTACTTATATTTTTATTACATGGATTAAATCGTTCCATGTTGCCGTTTCAATTAATTTTTAATTAACAATTACCTGGAATTACTAATATTGGTGTGTGAAATGAAATCATACTAATGAAAAGTTCAAATAACAAAAGAGAAAAGTATTTAATTAAAATATTGCAAATGCTAAGAAAATAATTTTTAAAATTTGAAATTAAACATAAAATCATTTCCTTTTAAATTTATTGATTTACTTTTTTTTTTAATGCTTATTTTGTTTTGGATAAAAGTTATTGTAATTTTCAAAAAAAAAAAATCCATAATTAAAAAGATAAGTGGAGCAGAGTAAATTGTAGCCAAAAATGAAAAAATATTTTTTTCTTTTCATAGTATAATATCTTCAAATAAATGATAATAATACAAAATTAAAAAACTAGCAATAATTAATTTTTTCAAAATCAAAAATTGAAAAGTGGTATTTGTCAAGAAAATTGTATAAATCCTTCCTTTATTAAAATTTACAATTTCATTTCTGATTTTTATTCCTCATAACTTGATATGATATCTTTGTTGTATTAATTAATTACAGTAATAATATCAATTAGGATGCATATATGGTAAAAAAAATTTTTTTTGACAAAAAAATAATCAATTTTGTTTTTAATTATAGGAACTTAGAATTGGGGGTTGAAATTAAGTAATCAATTAATTACTGACGATAAAAAAAAACAAAAGACGGAAAAAAAAAATTTTTTGATCAGTTTCAAATTCTTTGCTATTTCTTGCATATTATCACATTTAAAACTAAAACTACAGTAATTTCTAAACTACAGTAGACTTTTATAGATATACTACATATACATGCGAGACAAATGTATTCATACATTCAATCTATTCCAAAATTATCTTATGAAATAGGAATTTGCCGGATCAATGAAGGATATCTTTCCTGATTCTCATCCCGCTTTAATTTATCCTTTTTTTGTTTCTCTTTTTGAAATTGCTAAACTATTTTCTATCTTTAGCAAAAGAACCAGAAATTATGGAGTGATATTTGAGAAAAGACAATGTCAATCATTCGTTTTTAACAAGTGTCACAATTCAAAATGTCAAATGAATGACAGTGTAAATATTGAAATTTCAACATAGATGAGAAAAAGCCACCAAATATTGCTAGCTTAATAAACATTTAATTAGTTATTAAATTAAAAATGAAACAAATAAAGATTGTCAAAGAACAAATTTTTGATGATAAATGCAAGAGATTATGAATGGTTAGAGGTTATATTAAATAATTTCATGAATGTATCATTTTTATCAACGAATAATTTCTTTCATCTATCTGGAAATTGTCTCATCTTATCTTATCATATCATATTTTTTCTTTTTAGTTTTATTCTTTTTTAAATGAAAAATACATATTTGTGAATGAGAAAATCTAATCAAATGAGTTTATTGATTATCAATTGGATGGAATTTTTCTCATTTTTTTTTTTCACTTTTTATCTCAACATTAAAAAAAAAAAAAAAAAATGAACTTTAAGCTTATAGTCATTAAGCATATAAAATAAAATAGCATTAAACGCCTCTTAAATGTGTTGCTCTCTACAAGCATTGCTAAATAAGTTCTTGTTTACAATTTAAAATAAAACAAGAATCAGCTAAATTTACATTTAAGAAAATGATTGAAAGGCTTCCTTCATTGCCAAAATTAAAAAAAAATAAAAAAAAAAATTTAGCTGGAAAAAAAAACCTATGAGTATTCATGGGATCAAAAAAATATGTAAATTTATATTATATAAAAAAAAAAAAGAAAAGGTATAATTTGTGATCGAAAGAAACGATTAATTATTTTGGGGAAAAAACATCATACAGTGATGATACAGTACACTAACTAATTATACAGTAGAATTACATTTTATACAATAGCACTACCGTAATGAGTTTGAATATGTTCTACCGTAATAAGTTGAATATTTAACATTTTTGGTTATTGTCACCAAAAGAACACACCTAACCTGTTAATATATATTTTCAAAGTATTTGAAAAAAGTACTCAATTTTTTTCATAAAATTTTTGCATTAAACAGATTTTCAAGTTTGTAGCACTCTTAAATTTCAAATTAAAATTTAAAAGTTCAAATTGCTTATCGCTAAAATCTGAATTAAATTATCTAAATGTTTTCATTTTGCAATTTTTATAACATTCATAAATTTTATACATATTTTGATGAATAAAATCAATTGTTAAATGATAAGCTGATATTGATTTAACAAAAGCACCATAATAAGTAGCCGTTGTTAAAAAAGAAATTAAACAAATAATTAAATAGTCGAATAATTAAATTCTAATTTAAACAAAATATTACTTGATAATGCGTACAGTAATCCCGAATGTTTGATAATATTTGAATGAAATTCCACGATATTCCCGCTCACTTACTTATTTACTCACCCAATGATAATTATCAGTGATAATTCGCTACTTATTAAATTCTTTACTCATTAAAAAATGATAGAAAATCGTGTAATTCTGTATGTTAATAATTCATATTGAAGATTATTAGATTTGGGTAAATTTTAGTAAATTTATCTATATCTGAAATAATTTATTTAATTATTTCTTAATGAAATTTATAAAAATTTGCTACAATTTCAATTTCGTTTTTTTCTTTTTTTCTGATAAATTAATTCTAAAATTCTTTCTTTTCATTACCTTGCCAATAATACTAACAAAAATGTAATACCTATGAATGATATCAAATAATACGCACGGATAAATTGTGATAAATGATAAGTGATAATTACAATCAACGATAAAACAAACGCTTCTTGCAAAACATAAAATATTGAAAAAAAAAGAAAAAGAAAGAGTTACAAACAAGTAAATAGTAATGAAATATATTCAAAAATTTATTGTCATGAATTTTTTTTCCTTATAATGAGTATATAATAATCCGGTTTCAGGATTGTCAGTTTTTCCTGATTTTGTTTGCTTACAAATTCCTGAAATATTATTCCATCCGTAACTGATGAAATTAATAAAGATTGTAAGAGGAACAATGCAAGAATGAGGAAATGAATATGCAAGACCTCGTGTATGTGTGTGTATGTGTATGTCTGTGTATGTCCGTGTGTATGCATGTGTGTGTATATGTGTATGTCCATGTATATCCGTATATGTGTGTGTGTGTATGTATGTGTGTATGTTGTGTATATTCGTGTAGTGTGACCGTGTCTATGTGTGTGTATATCTGTGTATGTCCGTGTGCATGTATGTATACGTCCGTGTGTCTGTGTGTGTGTGTATGTATGTCTGTGTATATCTGTGTATGTATATGTGTATGTTCAGAGTAGGCATACAAATATTTCCTTGAAAGGGAATGTTATTAACAATCGAGAGTTGAGTTGATTTGTTTAAAACTAACTGATCATTCTTATTTGCCTTTTCCGTCTTTGTCCTTTTTTTTCCGTTCATTACTCTTCCTTTTTTTCCCTTATAACCGGTAAAGCCTTCAGGAAAACTGCTCCCATGAGAAAATTCTCATTATCCTAATTTGATTTATATCTAAGACACAAGATATGACTATAGAAATGTTGTTGTTTTCAATCCATATGTATATATATATTAAACTTTTGATTCCAACTTTGGATAAATTCCCAAATCATCCATCCATTTATCCATCCGTTCCTCTATCTATCCATCCATCCGTCCACATCCACATATCCATCTAATCGACCCGTCCTTATCCGTACACCTATCCATCCGTCCATCCACCCATCCATCCATCCGTCCATCCATCCATCCATCCGTCCATCCATCCATTTACT